ACGAAGGAAGTGAACAACAGAAAGATAATTTGCCATTTTTCGAATCGTAAAATGCGATCTGAACTATAACAGTGAAACGAAAAACATAAACAAAACAAACAAAAACACCCAAATCCGAACTCAATACAAAAAAGAAACAGAAAACAAACAAACAAACAAATTCGTGAATGAAGGAATATTCCAGAAAAAAAATAAGATAAATAAACCAGAAAAATCCCACTATTATCAATCGCTCCTTTAAGATCGTTTTTCTCCCTCTCACTCTTAATGACATGACCCTTACGCCCTGTCACGAGTGAGAGTGATCCACACGCACATCTCAGGTCACGCGAAAGTCGATGACCTCTGACCTCAGATTGCCATGGAGTTGAAGGTCGCCCCGGTAGCGCTGGTGGCGTTGGCAACGGTGACTTCGATTGCAGTGTTGCCAAGGGGAGCAGAAGCCATCTCGAAGTGGGTGCCCGCCCCCCCGAGACGCAAGCTAAATGGTAATATATCTGCGTCTGTCTGTCTGTCTGTCTGTCTGTCTGTCTAAAATTCTGTGTCTGTCTGTCTGTCTGTCAAATCATCTACCTAATATTTTATGTGTCAAGCGATCTGTCTGTCATGTTAATTACCTATACACACACACACATAAGTATATATATATATTTCTGATTATATATATATATATATATATATATATATATATATATATATATATATATATATATATATGTATATATATATAATTCATTACCTATATTACTACCTGTCATATTAATATATAATATATATATATATATATATATATATATATATATATTTCTAATTACCTAATATTACTACCTGTCAATCTATTGATAAGTTCATTTGTTTATGTATGTATGTATCTATCTATCTGTCTACCTACCTGCCTGCTTATCTGTCTGTCAGTCTGTCTATCTACATATCCATCTATTCCTCTATCTATTTGAGCGTGTGTATGTGTGTGTGTGTGTGTGTGTGTGTGTGTGTGTGTGTGTGTGTGTGTGTGTGTGTGTGTGTGTGTGTGTGCGTGTGTGTGTTGTGCGTGTGTGTTTATGAGCATTCAGACACGATATTTAAGATGGATATTTTGATTAGCTAATCCAATTTTGCATTTTTTAAAAACATAAATAGGTCTATAGATAGGATACCACATTCCTATCCCTTATATATATTTCGAATGGCATTGTGATTCCTGTTCTCCACAGCGTTGTTTACTTACATTATCCATAAAACAAACAAACAAACAAAAAACGATTCTGATCTTATCAACAAATGATCAACTTCACCTCTATTTATTTCAGGAATACGATATTTTCCCGCCATTTTTTTTACGGCGCAATTCTGGGCATTCTTCATACATCTTTCTGTCTCTTATATATCTATTATATCTTGCTTTCTCCATATATATTACATCGTTTATGCTATGTGTATTTGTGTACGTGAATGTATGTTTATTTCCTTTCCTTCTACCATAATCTTTTTTTTTTTTTTTTATTAATTTATTATTCCAATTTTGAACATTTTCTCCCTCCATTTCCCTACAATCTTACTATATCTCTCTTCTCATCATAATTTTTATACATGCATATTTTTCTGCTAATAAGGATCACCTTAATTATCTTGGATTAATGAGTATCATAATAATTCTTGAAATTCCCCATTAAATATTGAATTCATCCCATAACCAAGTCCCACCATGAATCTCGTCGTTAAAATTCCAATGAATATCTAATACCCATCATTTATTCAAATATCTGTATAATTCATCTAAAACTTCATCAACAATTTATCCACAATCTTTTAAAAAATAACATAGTTCCAGGTTGTGTGACGCCGCGGGGCATACTCGAACTTGGACAGCGAGTCTATCTGCCAGGATGCAGGAGGCTCGTGTGCAAGTCGTTCGCCGGGCAGCCTTTTGTCGAAGATCAAACGTAAGGAAGTAGAAACATGAATATTTAAGTTATTGTGTTAATAGATGTTCAAATAGATGCATGGACTGATAGATTAAATGTAAAAAATGAAACTTAAAATGTATATAATATGCAAATAAACAGACAAGCAGTTTAATGAAAAATTGAGCATATGAAAATACAAAAACACAAATACACTGAGAGAAAGGGGATCTTATACCGGTGATTCTATAGGTAAGTGAATACGATCTGCCAATAAAATTAATTTTAATCGCGAGAGAGAGAGGTAAAGGTAAATAAATGAACTGTTAATTACTCTAACTGAACAATTGAACGGATGAACTTTGTAACTAATAGGAGACTGTTTGTGTTCCTTCTAGTGTGGTTATGATTTTGCATAATTATATATTTTTTTTGTACTGGGAGAGAGAGAGAAAAAAAAAAACAAGACATTACGTTAAGCTTCATTTTTTATGAGAAAGATGAGACCACAATTTCTAATACATTTCTGTAAACCTTAGAATACATGCATGCACACACACACGCACGCACATACTGAAGGCTTTTACTGTCATTTTTTGGTTTAGGTTATTTGTTAGCATTACTGTTACAAAAATGAAAGCACATCCACATAAGCACATGTTCTCGTGTTCTCTTCACAATCTATCATACTTTGTTCACGTATTTATATATATTTTTTGTCATTATTATTAGCTACCCGGATGCAGCATACACACAGCTATATTCATGAGTTTCACTTTTAGATTGGAACAAAGGTAAAAACCCAGTCACTGAATATTGGAATAACCAGCGTAAAAAAAAATATCGTAATTATTATAGGCCGTTTCCCCTCGAGGCAGTCACGGACGCACTCACACATAAAGCCAAAAAACAAAACAAAACACACACATAAATAAAAATCATTAAAAAAAAAAACACACACACACACCCATAAATAAAGACATAAACAGAGATCGAAATGTAAAATGACAAAAAAAAAAAAAAAAAAAAACTTTCCCTTTCGTTACCTTTCGCATCTATTTATATCTGGAAAAAGGTAATACGCACGAGGTCGCTTATAACAACAAACCCGAGCGTCGGCGAGAGAGAGAAAGCATGACGGGTTTTTCTCCGCCGCGGGTCTTCTCCGGCGAGGAATTTGGTTCCGGATAGAGGAGGAGGACGATGGCTCTGTGTGTGTGATGTGCTGTGTGTGTGTGTGTGTGTGTGTGTGTGTGTGTGTGTGTGTGTGTGTGTGTGTGTGTGTGTGCGTGTGTGTGTGTGTGTGATGTGTGTGTGTGTGTGTGTGTGTGTGTGTGTGTGTGTGTGTGTGTGTGTGTGTGTGTGTGTGTGTGTGTGTGTGTGTGTCGAATCGTCTTCCTCCCATGGTAGTCGCCCCCCTGCAATATCGCCATGACTTGAAAAAAGATTTCATTCGTCTTGTAATTGGAACTTCAGGCACCACAAACACACCACACACGTTCACACACACAATGTTCACAACACACGCATACACACGACACGCACGCCACACACACACACACACACACACACATGTATGAAACGTAAACATGTCACAGAAAGGGAAAACAAAGACATGCAACAAGCCACACCCGCCACGAAAAGCCAAAGCCAAAACATAAACACAAATAATCATAGAAAATGGACGAGCCGCCAGCCACGCGGAGCTCGTTAAATGGGATTGGATCGTGCGCACGAGATGCTCCATTGTTTACACTTTCTCTCGGCGATTTTCTTCTTTTTGAAGATGTTTGTGCAGGGATACTTATACTTTGTGGCGTTTATACTCTACAGAAGTATATATACAGAAGTATATAAACATAAGGTTTATATTTCTTGTTGGGTTATGTATCCTTTATGATTATATATATAATATATATATATATATATATATATATATATATATATATATATATATATATATATATATATATATATATATGTTATTTTATAATATCTATTCATTATATATGTATGTATAGATAGATATAGATATAGATAGATACACATATATGTATATCTATCATATATATATATATATATATATATATATATATATATATATATATATATATATATATATATATATATTATATGTATGTATGTATGTATATATATAGTCTCTCTATCTATTCATCTGTATATGAACTGCATGACATGACAATGCCTATCCTTACTTTTTTAAAGAATATATGAATATTTCATACTACAGCTAGGAATATGCTCATCAATTATACACGTAGAAAAAACATTAAATTCTTTAAGAAGGTCTGGATCATGTGTTTAGATTCCTTTATTACTTACACAATCTCTTAACGATGTTCTTGTGTTCTATAGATGTTGTTAGTAGGAATACAGAGGTCTGTATAGGTATTTCTTTTTAGGAATGTTTATTCATGTTTTTGTAATTTATAAACGATCATCCTCAACCTCTACAGTTTTATGAATATGTTTATGTTTATATTCAGTTTTGTAGGAATATCTTTTAAAATTCGGTCCAACATTTAGTGATATGATTATAGATTTTATTTTACTTATTTTGTGATTTATTATGAATCATCCTACAGCAATGTTTTGGGTGGGACTTCCAGTTTGTCTTAGAAATTAATCTAGTAAAAAAATAAGGATTTATCCATATTTCTCAATTTCACTATTAATATTGTCTAATACTAGTGTGTTAAAGTTGCATTTGTCTGTTTTTGGGGGAACGTATTTTTTCAATCGATTTTTTTTTTGTATGGAAGATGAGACAAGTAAAAAAAAAGATAAAAAATGAAATAAAATAAAGGTTACAATTGATAAAACGTGAATCGCAGTTCTGTGTTAACGTTGAAAGACATTTTTTGTTTTGAAAGGAGACGGCCGCCCCTTAGCTCCGATTACCCAAATAACATCCACGAACCTGGGAGAAAACAAGAGAGAAACTTCGTCGCGATTTCTCCAAATTGTCATTCTTGTTGATATAGTGAGGTTTCCTGGCCATGTTTTCGCATTTTTTCTCTCTCTTTTCTTTCTATAAATAGAGTGTTCTTTGTTTTTGTCTCACCTCCCTCCCCTTCCCCCCAGGTGCGACTCCCTCCCCGGCAGCGTGCCCCTCCACTGCACCGTCAGGCACCGCCGCCACAGGAGGTACCCCGACTGCTGCCCGGAGGTGACGTGCCCGCCCATCGATCCCTCCCCGCACACGCCCCCGGGAAGGACACCCTGGGGAGGAATGCAGGTCCCTTACCCTGAGGAAACCTTTGTGGGCGTGGGCGGCCGCTATCCGGGCGGCGTGCAGCTGCCCACCCACTACGCGGATACCCGCCCTCGCGTAACCCCCCGCCCCTTCACATTCATGGACGGGCCGGAGGTGATCCTCGGGAGCGGCTTCTCGGACCCGTGGCAGCCACAGGGCGACCACAGGGGCGAGGTCCTCCTGAGGGAGCGGCCCGTCGAAGTGTCGCAGGAGATCGACGCCTTCGGTACGGTGGGCCTGGACTCGCCGAGCAACGCCCTGGGCGGCTGGAGGGGCACGGGCTCCAAGGGGGGCGACTACGACTACGCGGAGGATGACCTGACGGGAGCGGACGGAGGAGGGGATGCCTATTACGACTCCTATGACTCCTACGACTTCTACCCGGCGACGGAAGACTACTTGTCCTCCTCTGCCACCCCGCGCCCCTGGGACGCCTCCACCCGCTACGAGCCCCCGCCAACCACCGCTCCACCGCCGCCGCCCACCGCACGCACGCGCTGGACCAGTCCTTACATCCCGCCCACCACTTCCCGCCCTCACGAACGCAGGACTACCTCGCAGCCGCCCATCACGACGACCAGCAGCCAGCCGCGCACTTGGGGGACGACCAGCAGCCAGCCGCGCACCTGGGGGACAACCACCAACCAGCCGCGCACTTGGGGGACGACCACCAACCAGCCGCGCACCTGGGGACGCACCAACCAGCGCGCACCTGGGGGACGACCACCAACCAGCCGCGCACATGGAGGACGACCACGCCGGTCATCATCACCCTCACGAGCACGACGCCCGCGCCGCGCACGCCTTCCTTCGCCAACTCCTCCGGCGACACCTCGATGACCTACTCGTACTTCAAGCAGCCGTTCAACGTGCGCACGTCGCCGCTCCCTTACCGCCACTACTTCGGCGGCGGAAGCTCTGCCCTGACGACGGAGCTGCCTGCCGTCCCCACCACGCCCTCGCCACCGGCCACCACTCCCTCGTCCCCGGCCACCACGCCCACACCGCCGCCACCTTGCCCCGCGCTGCCCACCGAGAAACACACCAAGTACAGGCCGACCATCACCAAGAGGACGACCGTGCCTCCGCCCACGACCATTGCCACGAGGAAGAGGCTCACGACCCCGAGCTTCAGCTGGTCGACCGAGTCGCCAGACGACTCCGACATCGCACTGACAACCTTCGCCAGTCTCTACACGCCCGTCGAGGAGGGAGGTTCTACGTCCGAGCTGACGAATCTCCTTTACACGTCGGACATCCCCGAGGCAGACTCCGCCACGAGGTATGGCTACAAGAGGAGGAGGCCCACGCAGCGACACCGCACCACGTCCGCCCCTGCCACCGACGCCTATTTCACTAAGGGATACTCCAAGACGACTCCCAACGACTTCAGATTCGCCGATACGGACCTCGATCCTCAGGACTACGACATCCACCAGTTTTTCCACAGCACCATCGACCCGTCGGCTCTCATTCCCGGCCACGAAAAGTTCCTCAAGTCGAAACACAAGACCATCAGGGATTACTTCAAGCAATCTACAGAAGAGGAGGAAGAGGAGGAGGAGGAGGAAGAGGGAAGCCACCGCGTCAAGAAATCCCGGAGGTCCCTCTCTTACACTGAGGCCACGATGCCCTACGAGGAGGCCACGCTTCTGCCCTCACAGGAGTCCCAGGAAAACATATCCTCCGGCGAGACGAAGCCCGGCGAGAGGCGAGGGCGGCCCGTCTTCTACATCCCGTGGCGGCAGCACCAGGCGAAGGCCCTGACCATGCCCTTGTCTTCTCAAGACGGAAGCGAGCGAGACGGCATCGCGGTGTCCTTCCCGCCCACGAAGTACGAGTTGGCGTCCGGGGAACAGGATGTGACGTCATCAACTGTCTCGTCCATTGAACATCTGTTCACTTCGCCCTTCACGAGAGACAGTCCGATCTCTACTGCGTCGTCGGATATCAAGGTTTCTGGTGAGGACACAGAAGTTTCATCTCAGGAGGTCCTTTCCGAAGAGGATACTGAAAATGAAGTATTCCAAACGACTTCCTTGAAGGATTATGAAAGCATCCCAAATGGAGTTACGACGCCTCCACTCCAAGCCGCTATGACGCACGCGACGATCAGCCCGACGACAGAGTATCCTGAGGCATCCTCACGGGAGCAGAAGGGCATAAGTAATGCCGATGAAGATAACCAAGCCGTAGAGGCAAGCGATAGAGTGGATCACAATGTCGAGTCCAGAGAGGGAAGAGTCGACATCCCCATCTACAAGGGCGAGGCCGGCGTGCGTCCCCTCCGGAGGCGTCGACCCTTGAGGCGGAGGAAACAACCCGTCGCCCGAGAGGATGGCGTCGACGAAGCAGACCCGCTCGCTGCGACGGAGGAGCCGCCCAAGAGGATTGCGTGGTCGCCGCCGCCGTTCCGACCGAGCCGAAGCCGCCAGCCGGTCCTGGCGAGGGACGAGAACAACGCCATCCTTCTCCCGGCTTACGTGGGCGTCTCCCAGAACGAGTACATGGGGATCCTCAACTTTGAGATCAAGAAGGAGCCTGCAAAGCCGGCGGGTTCCAGTAGCTCCCACGTGGTACTAAATCCTATAGCGAAGCCGAAGGATGCCATTGTGGAGTCCAGTCACGTTACGACGCATGAATCCTTGGGCTTGAGGAACACTACCCCAACCAAAGGGAAAGAGGACGTGTCTTCCTCTGAGGATATGCCGCTGAAGACGGACCAGGTGAGGCGACAGAGCCACTCTCAGGTCGTGCAAAAGGAGGTGGTCAGGAAGTACCAACCGGGCGACTACACAAGTTCCGCACCCAGGCCGACGACAGTCACCCTCATCGACAGTTCTCGTAATATCGAAGAGTACGAGGAAGAGTTCTTCGAGGCCGAGACCTTCGAGGATGAGTTTGACTCTTCTGACCATCTGCCTCGCGACGACATCCGATATGGCCCGAGTAACCGAGAGGAAGACACGGGGCTCGGCCTTGAGCCCAGGCAACAGCCTTGGTCAGCGGACAACAGCTTTGCTGGTTCAGACAGGCCCACGTCATGGACACCTCAAAATCACGACGACAGACACGTGCACCTCGTTCCATCTGGCGTCGGACACCCCGAAAGGCCCATCAATTCCCCACCATCCGACTTCAACCACTGGATCGATGCCGATTACGATGACTTTCCAACTGAGGACTGGACTGACGACCCGAACTTCGGTCCGATCTTTCCCCGTGATGAAGACGACTACGGATACGAAGGAGAAGAACGGACACACGAAGGACCTGAAGCAACGCAGGAAGAAGGCAATACGCCATTAAAACCGCGTTTCCGCCCTGTGCCCATCTTGGAGATCGCTTCTTCCTCTTCAACAACGTCTCACGAGGATGTGCCTTCACCTCCTGACACAGAAGGAGACCAGAATATACTGACGACGACCACGACGACGTCCTCACCCGAAAGCACTTCTCGAAATCCTCGTCCCCAGACTCACTCCGCCGCCAGCCAGCCGTCGCCGCCTCCGAGGGACCAGATGCCGGGTCCTGAGCCTGTCCCGTACAGCCCTTACCTGAAGAGTCCTGCCAGGAGTCCTGAGGCATCAGATCTGGCATCGCCCTCGGACCGTGAGGGATCCCAACAAGACGACCTCCCTAGCCCGAACGAGGCAGAGGAATCTTCTCCACCCGCACAACCCTCGGCCGAGAAAACCAACGCACCAATAAGCGAGACAAACACGGACGCAGATGCTGTTGACGTTCACGAGCGAGAGAACGACCCAAGAGGAAGCCAAAGACGGCGCTTTCGGAGACCCTCCCTCAGGAAGCTCATCACTCGCAGGAGAATGGAACCGTCTCCAGATCAGAGGACACAGCTCCATCCAGGAGAAAGAGGAGCATGAAGACCATGGCGATACCTGTGCGAAAACGTAGATCGAGGTGGCAGATAGATGGGCACAGACACGTTACGTATGATTTACACCTAGTGGCTTATTTATTTGTAAATATCTACTCATTCAGTCTTGGCTCCTCGCTTGAGAAACGGACAAACAGACAACTTATTAGCGTGAGAAAGTATTTCCTTAACACCCCATTTTTCTCTACCTTTGCGTACCTGAACACGTGTGCATTCTGTCTCCAGGTGTGGGGTTGCTGATGCATATTTGCTGCTAAAATCATGTATTTTTTGTCATACCAAATGATGTGTGGAAAATATTGTTATGTTTTTTACTGGTCACTTTAAACTAAAATTTATAATAATTGGTCACCATTTGAATAGTATATAGCGAGACTGGAGGCCGTATTGCAGCCTTCAGTACAAATGCATTGCCATTCACCCTGAGTATTTTGTATGTATAATATACACATTTTCCCATTAACATAAAGTCCTGATTTTTGTGACGGAGGCATGTTGCTTTCCATCTGAACATTCAACAAGCATCGGCCAATTTATGATGAATGAAAACACAATATACTTACGAATTTTTTGAGAAGCACTTGCCCCAGGTTAGGTGTTCTTTCTCTGAGTGTAATGAGCCTAGTATAATAGAAAACGTATATCTTATATGCAGTAACTTGAATAGATTGTTGATTTTTTAAGTTTTATAAAAATACTTGTTAATCTGTAAAACTATTTAATAAAACTGATAGTTGTTATTTACGTTTAGGTATCCTTTCGCGTCTTTTATATGTTCGAATAAAGCAAATTAAAACGAAATAATAACTGATACTAATAAAAAAAAACAATAACTGTGATGACAATAGGACGATCAATGAACTTAGGACCGCGATCACCATGACCTCCGCACCTTCAACGCTTTAGCAAAGAAAACAAATCTCCCCAACGCATATTTAGCAACAGAGAGCTGCCAGGCTAGTCTAAAGCTCTGTCTTTGCATGGTGCAAGTTCGCTGTTAGCACTTGAATCAGGGTAACTGTGATGAACAACAAAAATATAATCTATTTAACAATGATGACTGTCTCCCCCACTTCTCTCTCTCTCTCTCTCTCCTCATTCCTTCTCGATCTCTCTTTGTTTTCTCTCTGTCACGTGATTAGACACTTAAAACTTCTCATTTCTGTAGTGAGGAAGGCGCTAATGACATCATTAAAGATGGGAAGAGAAAGCATAACTCTCTGTACAACCATAACGCCCATTTACAGCCGTTGATCGTCTGTGGTTATCCAATGTGGTCAGCAGTTTTCACGATATCATTGAAGACTGCCACACCTTTGATGATTTTTGCGAGTTACCCCTAACGTCGAGTTTCTCTTATGACGTTTTCTTTCATTAGCGAGATGGCTGAGAGCATTCCTCGCTCTTAGGTTCAGAGACAGTCATTAGTAACTTTTGTGTCAGTAATTGACAATGAGGCTACGGAATTACTTGGATTGTCATCGTGGTAAATGTCTACAACATTTACCATTTACCACATTTTTTTTTTTTTTTTTTTTTTGAAGGGGGGTGGAGAGTGAAGGGGCGATTTCGCTCATAACAGGCATTTTGGGAAGTAAAAGAAAGTGGAAAATTAAAACCCAGAACCCAAAAACATATTTCGGTTTCGCCCACGGAAGATTCGACACGCCGTTGCGCCATCCTAAACCCCAGCTGCCTCCTAATCGCCGCATTACCCCAGATTGGGGCTCCGTCCCTAAACCCCTTACCAACTGCCGTATTTCGCTAGACGGGGGCCCCTTCCCAGTTCGCCCCTCCCGTTCGCCACCGATTGTACATACATTTAAAGACACAATTTGGGTTTACCTTGTGGTTGCCGAGAGGTTGGCTCGGATGTGACGAATCTCTGACGATGTATCTGCAGCTGAAACACGGTTATTGTTTTTCACTGAATTTAGTGTTATCCCGGAGATGTGGCAATTTCAGTAAGGTATGATTTTCACTGGAATATTGGAAAAGAACTCGGAAGCACATATAGCACTGTAAACAAACTTCACTTATGGAACGAGCAATGAAAACTGTGACAACAGGACTGTCAAATTTGCCCATAGATGGCGCAAGTAATGATGTAACATGTTTCAATAAAAGAATAAAAAAATGGGTCGTATATGGTAAAATAGAACACATAATACGTTGTATATTTAAGGAATGGACGTTTTGTCAATAATTATTTCGGTATAAATTTATATATATATGTAACAGGTACATTACAGTACATAGAAATATAGATAAAACATATATAGAGGAAGTAGAAATGCAATAGAGAAAACTGATTAAAACATGATCATAAATATAAGTGAAACTACTAATAAAAAAACAAATTATAGATTACAGAAAGAAGCGAAAATATCACGTGAATAGAGAACAATTTTAGTTATGAGAAATATATGGCAAATAAGGATTAGATTAATTAATTTATTACTTTATCTACTTTATAGTAAAATAGAAAGTTTTCCTCTATTTGTAAAGCACATTTATGCTAATACTGGACTGGGTTGTTTGTTCAATTTACATATGTTTTAGGGGAATATAATAATAGGGATAATTTGCATTGCAGCTTGGAAATTTGCCAACTTCTGAATAAATTGTTTAAAATGGAGAAGGATTGCATGATATTAGATAATATTGCACAAAAATATTTATCATCAGGGCGTCATTTCAATTTTTTCTAGGGGGAGGGGAGGGGTGGTTAGATAGCGAAGCACAATGAGTGATTTTTTTTTTTTTTTTTTTTGAAAAAAAATATTTTAGGGGTATTTTTTTTAACAAATATTTTAGGGGTATTTTAGAATATCAACCAGTGATAAATAGGCGTAGCTTAGGCAACAAAGTGAAAATCAATAGACTGATAAAAAAAAATGGTTATCATTTGATTTTATTTCTTTTAATGAATACAGGCGTCTGTGTATTTGCGTTTGTATTTGTTCGTATATGTATTTGCGTGTGTCTGTGCTTGTATATCATGTGATAGGCCAATATGATACAAGGCCTGTTTAGGATGTTCAAAAATGGTTGTTAACTGCGAACCTGTAGTGTGACTTTGAGATCATTTAGCCAGTAGTATAATTAATGTAATCTATATTTACAGTAATCATTATCTTTATGCATTAGTGTCTTTCTTCCATGAAGGAACGTCAATGGAATATTTTGCGTCCGTATCCATTGACTCCAGTACAGCTGTTTATGTATGTATATACGTATATTTATCCGAAATCTGGATAATTTGATGCACTCTAAGTATGGTAATAAACAGATTTTCTATTTAATTACTTTATTATTCATTTTAAGTACTTTTCATTGTGTAGACAGTAACACTGTAGATAACAACGCTGTTATAAAGATCGACATTATGTGCACACATACTTTGCATATGTATATGTGATCACATATACTTTACTTGTGCGTAATTGCACATGCGGGGTGTGTGCGTATACACATATATACACTGCATATATATGTGTGCGTGTACACATATTGTATATGTGCGTGTGCATACATACTGTATATGTGTGGATATACACACACATATGGCATGTGTATGTATGTCACAAAGCCTAAACAGCACTTACATTTTTACAGTCTTTTTGACTCATACGTTTAACCTAAGTTTGGAAGGCAGAATAGGGAAAAAATGAAGTAAAAGATAACTTAACATGAATTCCATCCAAGGTGCAGCTTGACACATTCAATCATGATATGACACTTGACACGCCAACCTACAACACCAAGACCCATGACACATAACCCGACCAATCTTACGATACACCGATCTATGACAAGGTGATCCATGACACACATCAACGAATGACACTCCGACACATCAATCAACCTCATGACACATAACCCACAACGGCTGCCATGAGCTCCGTGCCATTGAAGGGACAAAACCGAAATGCCTTCTCGCAGTCATAGCCGAGCTGCCCGAGTCTCCTGGCTCTCCTGTACTCCTCGAGGGCGCTCACTCCTTCGGCGGGGTTGAGGGCGCGGGGGTCGGATCCTGGGGGAAGCGTCCTGGGGAGGGGAGGGGGTGGGGAGAGGGGAGAGGGGAATGATTTTGGTAAGACGATAATGACAATAACAACAACAACAGAGATAATGATGATGATAATGATATTGATAGTAATAATGGTAAAAGTAATTATTGTCATTATAATGATAATGACACTGATGATAGAATAATAATAAATTATATTAATGAGCAACAATGACAAAAATAATGACCACATCAACGAGATTTAGGAAAGAAGCGCCAAACAAGAAGCCTCATGCAGCGACGTCGCCGCGGGCGGCCCTCACCCGACGAGCTCCAGGATGGCGTCCTCGTGGGCGCCGCGGCGGCGGGCGGGCAGCGCCCCCAGCTCGCACACGAGCCGCATCCGCACCCGGTCACGTCCTCCTGCCGGATCAGCGCCATCGTCCGCTCCAGCGCCGCCGAGTCCCCGCGGACCGAGCGCCCGTAGCGGAAGTGGCGGCGGCGGCGGAAGCGAATGTTGGCCAGGGTGCGGGCGACGCTGGCGATGCCGAGGCCCACGGCGCCCACGACGAAGGCGGCGGCGATGCCAGAGGCGGCGACGGCGGCCATGGCGGGGGCTGAGGCGGCGCTGCGAGAGAGTAAGGCCCGGCCTTGGAAAATAGAAACTACTGGAATTAACATTTTACATTATATATACTAGAATCTTTAAATGCTTTCATTATGACTGCTTAATTAGACGTATTTTTATGTCTTCTAAAAATTCATATCAGCATTTCATGTGAATTTAATTTTACCATTATTTACGTTTATTTTGTTTGAATACCAGACAAATCCAGAAACATTTAACACACATGTATGGGATATTTATAAATGTAAATATAAATAAATAAATATATATATATATATATATATATATATATATATATATATATAATATATATATATATATATATATATGTGTGTGTGTGTGTGTG